CACACTTTCAGAGATATGTAGCATGAGAAATTCGGTTTGTATGGGAAGTGCCACTCCCCCTTTACATATAGATTATTTTTAGCCTAAAACCATCCTTGGGACACGTGCGGCAGGTGGCAGTTTCAAAAAAATCGGTTCAGCCGTTCTCGAGCCTTGCGAAAACTAACAAACGGCTTTCTAAATATATATTAGTTGAGATATATTATATATTATAATTATATTTTGACAGTATCCGTTGTTTCTGATTGGCGCAAAAAAATCTGGCCTAGTGCCGAATTCGCCCCTTGATATTGTAGGATTGTAGGCACGTATATACGCGTGTGTGAATAGGGCTTTAGGCATATACATGTGAATGTGTTTAGACCGTAAGAAGTAGGTTAAGTAACTAGACCTTAAGACTAGTTGTTACTTTAGCGAGTAAGACCCGTTGGCTGTAAAACGCTATGTGCCATTTTATAAGAAATAATGAGAATCATTCGATTTTGGACACCGAGACCGACGGCCGCGTTTTAGTTTATTGCTTTGCCACCTGATATTTTACATCAGAAGTGGTCTTAGAACCAAAGTTAAAGTAAAGTAAAATAAAGTAAATTTTCGAATACTAAAGTAGCGCGCAAAATTTAAGATAATACTCTACACGATGAATCGCGAAGCTGTGAACGCAGAAAGATATTCGTTGTTGGAGTTCAAGAATTGGTGCACTGCCGTGGGCATAAACGCGAGCGGTGCGAAGGCGTCGTTAGCGGCTAGGCTGAGCGAGCTGTCCGCCGAAGCTCGAGGATTTTGCCCGGGCATCGACAAAGCAGATGAACAACGGCATGATGCAAAGGCTAACGAACAAGGAATTCTAAGCGAAGACGACGATGAAGATAACGGCGAGGGCAACGGTGAGGACGATAATAACGGGGACGACGACAACGGTGAGAACAACGGCAGAGTCTTGAGGAGCAAAAGTGTACAGCGACGCGGTAATGCAATGGTGATTAACGACGACGATCCGATATATGTACAGTGTGGCGTAGCGTGTGTGCGTAACGGTGCCTTCGGAAGTCGTCCGGTTAGAGACGCCGAAGAAAATAGCGGTACAAGCAACCGTACAGCAGGCGAGTTAACCGCTATTCGTGACAACGACGCAGAAGTAGCGGCCCATAAAATTGAACTGCTCGAAAAGGAGATACAGCTGCTTAAACTTCAGAAGACACAGTGGGAGCAGAACCAGGCAATGGCGTGCAGGACCAAAGTAGATGACAACGTCCCTTTTGAAACGCTGAAAGAAGTTATACCAACCTACGATGGTGGCGATGGTTTTGGTGCGTGGTATAACCAAGTGATGTATTATCGCGAAATTTTCAAAGCGAACGACGCCATGCTGTGTGTAGCTGTACACTTAAACTTGAAGGGCGCCGCCTTAGCGTGGTATAATGCAAAGTCGACATTTCACAAAAGCGCGGACGAGCTGCTACGTGAAATGAAAACCGTATTTACATCAAATGAACGAAAACTCGAACGCCGGCGTAAATTCGAAAAGCGGACATGGGTGCCTGAAGAAAGCTTCATCAGCTATTACAATGATAAGTGCACATTGAGCAGCGACTTGAACCTTAGCGATGAAGAGTTTGCCGGCTACCTCGTCGAAGGAATCCCAGATCGACAGCTTCGTAACCAAGCAAGGCTACACAATTTTGCATCGGCAAACGAGGTAGTGAGAGCATTCCGCTCAGTCACGTTGCCAGAACGACCAGCAGCCAAATCACGCTCCGATGAACGTTTCAGATGCTACAATTGCAACTGTTCCGGCCACTATGCCAAAGATTGCAGAAAGACAAAGCGGGAAGCCGGATCGTGCTACGCATGTGGAGAGAAGGGCCACTATGCAACAGACTGCAAGCAGTACAAGAGGGAGAAGAATACTTTCGTAAGTTATTTTAGATTGTATGTAGCACATGTTAATACTTGTATGTTTATAGAATGTCTAGTTGATTCAGGCAGCCCAGTTAGCTTAATGAAAGAAGTTGTGGTACCGTCAGGAGTGAATTTCGATGAAGTAAATGATTCGTACTACGGTTTAAATAAATCAGTTTCGAATATACTTGGAAAAGTTAAATGTATCGTCAAAGTTTTGAATAAAGACGTTTTAGTTGAATTCTTAGTGGATCCTAATGGGTGTATTGGTTATTCGGTGCTACTGGGTAGAGATTTTATTGAGGCTAGTACAAGTAGAGGCAGCTAATGGTGTGAACAATGTGGACGAAGTGGAGAAAGCGGACGAAGTTGAGAAAGTAGACAAAGTTGAGAAAGTTGAAGAAGTTGAGCAAATTTGTAATTTAGGTACAACAAGGAAGTTTACGTGCGAAAACATGAGCAACGCCAATGATGTGATTGAAGATTATCAGGTTAATGAGGCCATAAACGAAATTATGGCAATAGAAGTGTGCGAAAAAACTGCTATGGACCTCAAAGTGGGCGAAGAAGTCAATTACGATAATAAAATACTTTTTCAGGAAATTTTCAAAAGAGTTTACGTAAACTCGAAGAAACAAGGCAAACCAATGGTCAGAAAAGAAATGAAATGAAAAGTAGTCCGTTCGCATGTGCTCCAAGAAGACTTTCGTACAAAGAAAAAATAGAGTTGCAGAATATAATCGACGAATACTTAGAAAAAGGTTACATACGCCCTAGTGAGTCAGAGTATGTGTCACCCATAGTGTTAGTTAAAAAGAAAACGGGTGAACTTCGTTTGTGTGTCGACTACCGGAAATTAAACAAAGTTACGGTAAAGGATAGTTACCCGATGCCACTTATAGATGATTTGTTGGACAGGTTAGCGAACAAGAAATTTTTCACAAAGCTGGATTTGAAGAACGGGTTTTTTCACGTTTTTATGAGCGAAGATTCGATAAAGTATACGTCGTTTACTACACCTTTAGGGCAGTATGAATTCTTGCGAATGCCGTTCGGATTGAAAAATGCGCCGGCAACATTCCAAAAGTTTATTAATAAAATTTTTTCAGAGATGATTCGTAAGGGCGAGGTTATAGTTTATCTCGCTGATATCATGATAGCAACAGAGAGTATCAAAGAACATATCGAAATATTAGAAAAATTATTATTGAAAATTGTACAGAATAACTTACAGCTGCGTTTAGATAAGTGCGAGTTTTTGCAGTCGAAGGTGTCATATTTAGGCTATGTTATTACTGGTGAAGGTATACAGGCGGACGAGAAGGGACTGAACGCAATAGAAAACTTCGCCGTCCCGACTAAAGTCGTCGAAGTTCAAAGCTTTTTAGGCTTATGCTCATATTTCCGAAGGTTTATTAAGGACTTTTCGACTATAGCCAAGCCCCTCCATGACCTCACGAAAAAAGACACAAAATTCCAGTTTGGCAAAGTAGAGTTAGAATCTTTCAACAGTCTTAAAACAAAGTTGAAAGCGTCACCATTGTTAGCAATCTATGACCCAAATGACGCGACAGAGTTACACTGTGACGCAAGCGCTTTAGGGTTTGGAGCAATATTGCTGCAAAAAAAGAAAGACGGGAAACTACATCCAGTTTCTATTTTTCAAAACGCACAACGGACACCGAATCTAAATACCACAGTTTCGAGTTAGAAACTCTAGCGATTGTGTACGCATTAAAAAGGTTTAGAATATATTTGCAAGGCATAAAGTTCAAGATTATAACTGACTGCAACTCACTGACCTTGACGCTTAATAGGAAAGACATGAGTCCAAGAATAGCGAGGTGGGCGTTGGAACTACAAAACTACGATTATGAACTCGAACATAGAGCCGGCAAGAGAATGCAACATGTAGATGCACTAAGCAGAGTAAATGACATACTGGTAGTTCACGCAAATACTTTTGAAGAAAATCTTATCATATGCCAAAGTAGAGACGAGAAAGTAGGAAAAAAAAAAAGGAGTTAGAAGTTGGCGAGAACAGTCACTATGAAATGAGAAACGGAATAGTATACAGGAAGGGTAGAAATCTACTTTTTTACGTACCTGAGTCCATGGTAAATCACGTTTTGTAAAAGTACCATGACGAAATGGGGCATCTAAGAGTAGACAAAGTTGTGGAAACTATAGGAAAGAGCTATTGGTTTCCGAGTATTAGAAAAAAGGCAGTTTCCCACGTCGAGAACTGTTTAAAGTGTTTAGCATTTTCAGGCAAAAGTGGTAGAAAAGAGGGACTTCTACACATGATACCGAAGGGAAATAAACCGTTCGAGATGGTACACATCGACCACTACGGAGCGATTCATAGCAAATCTACAAAACATAAGCACGTTTTGGTAATAATAGATGCGTTTACAAAGTTTGTTCGCCTCTATCCCGTAAAAACCACTGCGTCAAAAGAAGCAGTTGTAGCATTAAAAGACTAATTCAGGGCATATAGCAGACCAAAGTTCATAGTATCAGATCGAGGAACCTGCTTTACTTCAAACGAGTTCGTGGAATTTTTAGCAAATAACAACGTTGAGCACATCAAAGTCGCGACAAGTTCACCCCAAGCAAACGGCCAAGCCGAGATCGTTAACAAAAGCTTAGGTCCGATGATTGCAAAGATGGTTGATTCCGAGGAAGAAATAGGGTGGGGAAAAGTGTTAGAATCAGTAGAGCATGCGATAAATAACACGGTTCACAAAGCAACAAAAGAACAACCTAGCGTACTACTGTTCGGAGTAGCACAAAAGGGTAAAGTTATAGATAGTCTTAGAGAAAATGTGTTAGAAATAATACAGGCGTCGTACCCAGTAGCAATAGTAAAAGTTAGAGAGCAAGCGGAGGCAGTGCAAAGGAAGGCGCAAAGTTATAATAAAAAGTATTCAGATTACAAACGGCGGGAACCACAAAAGTTTACAGTTGGCGACTACGTAGTGTTTTCCAACGTCAGCTCACAGGTAGGAGCGTCCAGCAAGTTAATACCCAAGTTCAAGGGACCATATAGAATTTCAAAAGTATTAGAAAACGACCGCTATGCGGTCGAAGATGTATAAGGATTTCAACAGACCCAAATACCTTACAAGGGCATCTGGTCAGTTACAAACCTAAAACCGTGGTACGATCATAGAAAAACCAAAGCCACAACAATATCATAAAATGTATTTGTTAACACTAATTTCGTATGAACTGTAACACTGTATAAAATTAACGTTGTAGAATCAGGAGATTCTATGAGTCAGGAAGGCCGAGTTGTAGGATTGTAGGCACGTATATACGCGTGTGTGAATAGGGCTTTAGGCATATACATGTGCCTTTGTTTAGACCGTAAGAAGTAGGTTAAGTAACTAGACCTTAAGACTAGTTGTTACTTTAGCGAGTAAGACACGTTGGCTGTAAAACGCTATGTACCATTTTAAAAGAAATAAAGAGAATCATTCGATTTTGGACACCGAGACCGACGGCCGCGTTTTAGTTTATTGCTTTGCCACCTGATATTTTACAATATGGTCGTTACTTACAGCTATTTATATTCGAAATTGCATGAAAATTGGAAAACAGGAGTCTATAAGCTTATCCAGGCAAAAAGCTACCTACGTACCGAATTTTATGCAAATCGAACCATAAATACGATTACTTCGAACAGATCGGTCCCTGGTCCACTTCTCGGAAAAAAATGGATCATATATGCTAATATATACTAAAAAGCTACCTACGTACCGAATTTTAAGCAAATCGGACGGTAAATACGTTTTTTTCGAATAGATCAGTCCCTGGTCCACTTCTCGGAAAAATGGTCTATATATCCTAATATATGCTAAAAACCTACTTACGTCCGAATTTTAAGCAAATCGGACCATAAATGCGATTTTCTGGAATAGATCGGTCCCTGGCCCACTTCTCGGAAAAAATTTATCATATATGCTAATACATGCTAAAAAGCTACCTGCGCACCGAATTTTAAGCAAATCGGACCGTAAATTCGGGAGACTCTATGAGTCAGGACGGCCGAGTTGTAGGATTTTAGGCACGTATATACGCGTGTGTGAATAGGGCTTTAGGCATATACATGTGCCTGTGTTTAGACCGTAAGAAGTAGGTTAAGTAACTAGACCTTAAGACTAGTTGTTACTTTAGCGACCGACGGCCGCGTTTTAGTTTATTGCTTTGCCACCTGATATTTTACAATATGGTCGTTACTTAAAGCTATTTATATTCGAAATTGCATGAAAATTGGAAAACAGGAATCTATAAGCTTATCCATCGGACCGTAAATACGATTTTTTCGAATAGATCAGTCCCTGGTCCACTTCTCGGAAAAATGGTCCATATATCCTAATATATGCTAAAAAACTACTTACGTACCGAATTTTAAGCAAATCGGACCATAAATGCGATTTTCTGGAATAGATCGGTCCCTGGTCCACTTCTCGGAAAAAATTGATCATATATGCTAATACATGCTAAAAAGCTACCTGCGCACCGAATTTTAAGCAAATCGGACCGTAAATTCGATTTTTTCGAATAGATCGGTCCCTGGACCACTTCCCGGAAAAAATGGGTCATATATGCTAAAAAGCTACTTACGTACTAAATTTTAAGCAAATGGGATCATAATAAGATTTTTTCGAATAGACCGGTCCCTGGTCCACCTACCCGAAAAATAGTAAAATTTTTTTAGCCTAAAACATGGTGGTTACCAAAAGAATTTCATGAAAATCGGACCAGCGGTTCGCGATATTACCTGTTACAAAAAAAGGGACTTCTCTTTATATAATTAGTATAGAAGTATAGATGAACGAACCTTTTTCGTTTAACAGCATCGCGAGATTAAAAAACGATTTAATCTTTCCATTTCAAAATAATCTAAAGACGGTAAGGTTTAAAAAAAACACACACAGTTTTAAATATCCGAGTTATCTAATAGATAAATATATATATGTATGTGGATTGACACGTGCGTAGCTTTTAGATGTTTCAGGAAGAAGAAATTTATTTCGCATATTTTTCACTTATATACTAAGAATATGCTACAAAGAGAATGTCAGATTACAAAATAGTTATTGTTCAGTGTTGCTTTTCAAATTCACGCGCTGAGTAAGGCAATTGAGCGGCGACGAAATAACAAAAGGTTACCACAATACTCCCCTCCTAGACACCTTACGGGGTGGCGATGAAAGCGGGTTTCAAGCGGTCGATTGAAACTTTAACCTCGTTGTTGTTTATGTCGACTACGAAATATTTTGGCAATCTACGAATTACTTTATACGGGCCTTTGTAGGG